ACTGTTCTTCACTATCTCTTTGTCTTTCCGTAACTTCTTTCTTTCCATCCTCTTCATCTCTTTTCCTCTGTTCAGCGTCCTCTGCCTCAGCCTGACGGTCAGCCCGCCTCAGGGCTTCCTCGTATAAAGCGGGTGAATTCCTAACAAAATCCTTGTAAAGTTCTCCTGATCGGATAGAATTTGTCAGCATTGCCACTCCGGTCCTGTCGTCAAGGCCCTGAACCTTGACCGACTCGACCCTCCATCTTGCCAGGAAAGTGGACAGGGCCTCTTTCTTTCCTTGCTTCAGGCTAAACAGGTGGCTGAAATTCTTCTTCACATCTCGTGAGCCGGCGAACCTCAAGAGGAAGTGCCTAGCCAACTCCCTGAAGTTCCCGATGCTCCCATCGGGCAGTGTGTCATACCATTCACGAGCCGGGCCATCTAGAGTAGCCGCGAATCCTCTGCATCGTATGGCATCTTCGTACCCCATCATGACCATATATGACAGGTAACGTGATATGTGGTGTTGCGGGTCTGAAGTGCCCTTGTAAGTATCCACATTGCAAGGTTTGTAGCCCCTTGGCAACGGAGCCTCCATTATGGCACGAGTGAAGGGCTCCGGGATATGGAGGTCGGCCACGTATGACTCTCCCCCAACAACCCTCCTCCTTAGCTCGTCCAACCTTAGTTTGAGATCCTCCACAGCTTCCGGCGCCGGTTCCTCTGGCACGCGTCCAGCACGGGGCTGGACCCGCACATAGGATTCTGCGACTCTTTCACGCGCGTGAGGCCGACGGCCACCACGGGGGCCTTCTATGGAACCGGTTCGACCGCTCAGACGACGGGGGTGATGAGAGAAGTCATCCCCGCCCTCCAGTGACGAGTCTCGGTGGGGCCCTCCTCTTTCGGGTCGTCGAGGCTGCTCGACCCGTCGGGACATATCCTCCCTCCGGGGCAAGGATTCCCTTCGTGATTCGTCCAAACTAGTATGTCGCCCTTCATATCTCCCAGAGGAAGTCTCGATGTCTTCAGGGGCGGCGTGCCTCGGAGTTTCATGATTAGCTCTCTGCGGCATCATCCCCAGGAAATTCTGAGCCAAAGCCCCAATGGCACGCGTGGCCTCCTGTAGCGCCCGCACTCCAGCGTCAAGTCGGTTCGTGTGCGGAGCCCGACGACGGCGACCTCCAATCCGATCACGAAGGGATTGTCTGTCATGACTACGGCTTAGCGAGCCCCTCAGGTCCCCTGAGCCCGACAAATGGCTCCGGAGATCTCCTATCGGTCTCACCACCTGGCTTCTCACACGATGGCCATTGGGTTGTTCTGAATGCTCGGTGTGAACGGAAACTCGCTCTTGCCTTGATGATCCTGCCATTTTCCTCCTCAAAGATTCTACCGAAAACTGAGAGAACAACTCAGCTCTCAATGAAAGCACCAATGTTGGTAGAAAATGTGTTGAGTAGAAAATTCGGCAGCAATTCAGTACAGTAAAAGTGACTTCTCCAATACAAAAAGAGGGGCGGCCTATTTATAGGCGCTTACAAGAGGTTTCTTGAATACTAATGGGCTTGGCCCAATCAAACAACTAAAACAAGAAGCCTGATCCCCGGCCAATGGGCTGGTCGGGCCCAGAGTTAAACTAATCAATCCAAGGACCATATTATCTAGTCGGACCGTGTGCTGGGCCTGGTTCGCGCCCGAGCCCAGGCATATTGGGTCGATAGTATTGGACCTGGCCCATTATCCCAACAGGTTGTGTCATAATTTAAAAGAAAAATGCTTAGTGTATATGAGTTGTAAACAAATTGTACACAAAATCCCCTAATTGCTTATATACATAGACAATTCATTTAAAAAGGAACATGACTGGATAACAATCCCTACTTGCATGTGTACATAGGCAATGCACACATTTTGTGTACATCTTCTGTACACCAAGAATGAGCCAATTTAAAATAAGACACTATGTCCATACAAAAACTGTGTCTATATATTATGCTACCCTACCAAGTCAAAACCAATATTGTAAAAATGTAAATGATTAAAATAAAATCCTAAATAAAAATGATATTATTAAAAATGATTAAAATAAAATCCTAAAACCAATTATGTTCATCAATTCATAACTAGCATGGCAATACTGTGATGTTCAATCCACTACCTCATTTACTCCGACAATTAAATCTCTACTCCATTAAAACTCTACTCTTTCACTTAGTGGAGGACCTAAGTGGGGCAGTGCCTCCGCTTCGAGCCCGGAATTTCAGTAGTAGCACTTAAGGTAAAAATCAGTGATCTCGCTTCATACCAATATTTGATAATTAAGATACTAAAATCTTACAGTTATATAAATAAAAAATTAATACAAAATATTTAAATTCTAGCTGAATTAAAATAAAAGATTTAGAATTATCAAAACACAAAAAAAATAATGAAGGGTTGAAAACAAAAAGTAACAAAAAAAGTTAAAATGCAAAAGAGTAGCCAAATGTGCAGGCAGCTAAAAATAATGAAGAGTTGACTTTAATATTGTTACTATTGTTTTCATTGTAGGTATTGATCAGATCAGTCTTGAGATGGAGAATCGATCTAGTGAGTCACACACAGAATTACTCATTTGTTTAGCATGTCTTGATCCTAGAGATAAGTTCTTCAATTTCTGTGAGTCAAAGCTACTGAACCTTGCGGAGTTATATTCATGCGATTTTTTATCTGTTGATCGAATGGAGCTGAAAGAGCAACTCCAGGTGTGGATATATGAAATGAGAACAAATGAATTATTTTCTGTCGTACAAACTATTGATGAAGTTTGTAAAAAGATGGTTGAGCTTAAAGTTCTCAATTCTTTTCACTTGGTATATTGTCTTATTGAGTTGGCTTTAGTATTACCAGTTGCAACACCCACCGTTGAAAAGGCCTTCTCTACAATGAATATATCAAGACAGATCTTCATAATAAGATGGAAGATGACTATCTTACGGATTGTTTGGTGTGCTACATCGAGACAAATGTTTTTAGAAGCAGTGATAATGAAACTATTATGCAACATTTTGAGAATATGAAAATTCGTAGGCTTGATTTACCAAAGTTGCAGTAGTGAACTATTTAATATGTAATTAACTATTCCGTATAATTTAATACATTTTTTTACCATTTTTATTACATTTAGAGTTTTTATTACAGACTAAGTTTGGTGTGTAATGTGTCCCACTCTCACACATCTCTACTCTCTAGGTCCGCCACTGCTTTCGCTATTGAGAAATTTGCTCATAGTAGCACCAAATCATAGCTCTTTTACAAAAATAATACATGCTAATGTTTTTTCCATTCATATTACTTATTTAGTTCTAGATTAGGAAATCTATTTCTAACTTTCCAAATTTGCCCTTCAGACCAAAAAACTTCCGCCCTTGCATCGACTTCGCAGGCCTCCACCTTCGACCGCAGCTTCTCTCCCTGCGATGGAACGCAGGCCTCCACCTTCGACCGCAGATGCCCTCCCGCTCGACGCCTCGCCTCTCCTCCAGATCTCCGCCTCGCCTCGCCTCGCCGTCCAGATCTCCGCCTCGCCTCGCCTCGCCGTCCAGATCTCCGCCTCGCCTCGCCGTCCAGATCTCTGCCTTGCCCCACACTTGGATTTGAATAGATTATTTTATCAGAATTTATTGTTTATTTATTGTCTACTTATTGTCTATTTATTGTCTATTTAATGTCTGATATTTCCTAAAAGTAAGGGTATTATGGTCAATGCAGGTGTAGTTGAGTCTTACGCGAATCTTTGGTCTTAGTTTTGAAAAATCCGTATGTTTTGCTCCTATTTGTTGAAATCTCCCTTCGCTATTTTCTGCTTTCTGTTAACTATTTCATTGATGTCTACCATATTGACGCTCACTAATACCACTTGAAAAGTTGAAGTTTTTCAATTTGAATCTCTATCACTCTCTAAAGTAATATGGTTAGTGATAATACTCCCTTGCATAAATTTATTCTATGCATGTAAAGTATCCTTGCGCATTTGCATATATTAACAAATAAGTCCTTGTATTTTTAGTCTTTATAATTATACTCCAATAGTCCAATGTGTGTGTCTTACGTTTTAACAGAGTGGCGTTTTGCCGATTCCATTTTTAGTGCCCAGACTGCCCACGTATCCTCTTTTTATAATAAACAAATTCATGTCAAAAAGTTTGTGGTGCATCACGGACAAGAGAGCATAGGAGTGGACTCGGGCCCGGTTCGGGCCTCAGTTCAAGAAGGGGAGGCCCGGAACCGGCCCGGGTAACCCCCGGGTCCGGGCCGGGCCTCGGGTTTTTTTTTTTGGGCTTTTCCTAGTTAACCCCCACCCCTCCCCCTCACCCCCAAACCAACCCTAACCACCTCAAATGGCCCAAAATAACCAGCCCAACCCAAAAACTCAAAAAAATTCAAAAAAAAAAATAAAATTGGCCCGGCCCGGGCCCAAACCGGCCGGGCCGGTTCACCTTTTGAAGGGCCCGAGCCCGAACCGAGAATCCACCGGGCCGGGTGGCCCGAACCGCCCAACGAACCGGTTCCCGGGCCGGTTGGCCCGGCCCGAGTCCACCCCTAAGAGAGCATGTAAACCAGGGCAAAATAGGAAGAAAACCCTGTATCAAAATTTCTTAAGATGTATGCCTGTTGCAATGTTGCAACTTGCAACTATTACCAACCCAGACCGGCCGGTTCTAGTCACAGTTTTCATTAACGGTACAGGTTCACTACCCACTCTAGAGTCTAGTCCAGTTCTAAGTTCTTGGGTTAATAATCGCTTGGTTTCAATCAGACTCCAGCATCGTGTTCACCCCTAAATTGCGCCGAGTCCCGCTGACCCCTTTTCATAAGAATAATTTCCTATGCACCAAACCATACCTCCGTATTTGGCCTCAGGGCTCTCAACTACATAAAAGTCAAGTACATCCTTAGTCACCCTAACTAAATAACTAGTCTTTAATACAAGGGACATTATGCGACTGAAATCAAATGTGGTGCTAATTGTTAACCTTGACTTCTGGAGTGAATAGTAGAACTGTCATTCTTCTAATGATCAAGCTTGTAACATACATAATGAAGAAAAATATCAAAACCACTATTCTATGAAGAAAAACTGGGCTCCAGGATATTGGCAAAAGGATGATATTTCAGCTATATACACAATTTACAAATGAAAAAGTTCAAACTTGGATGAATTCCAACACAGCAAGAATGTTGTTGAACAATTGAACTATTAGCAATCTTCTATGTCATCATCAGATATATCATAATCACTTTTGTCACCTAAAGAAAAGCTGTTAACGAAGTTTTCATTTACATCCTCAAACGCTTGCTCAATTCCAAACTCACCATGTACTCTATGTCCAATCCATTTAAGAATAGGTTTAATCTCAGTTGCAATCACTGACTGCATAGGCATGGACTTCTGGTCTAGATGGTCAACATAATAATGACCTCTCTCCCTTGACATCTGACACTAAAGATCAAAACATTCATCCACATCATCCCAAAAGTAAGTCATTTTTAGTACTATTATAGATGTAATAATAAATTTTACTCTCAAAAATACATAGAAAAATCAGCATCGTTTCATGAAATAGGACACTACTTTATTGGGCCCAAAAACGTTTGAAACACCATTCTTAGTCTTTTTATGGGAGTATATCAAGACAGGACAATGAATTCAATAGATCTGAACTCTATTAACTAACCTTATTTTGCCACGTGGATTGCTCAACCTGCCACAGCTTTGGTCGCCGGATGGCATGCCACCTAAATTATTATGAACTGTAAGTTTTCCGCAATTAAGGGGCATTTCACAAATAAATTGAAATTGCATACCTGGATGGTGATGGATGATTATTACCAAATAACACTCCCCGAACAGCAACTGAGGCAGCAACTAAGTGCTGAAGATTCTCGGTCCCGAAATTTGTGGCAATCATATTTTTGGATGGTGAAAGAAGGAAATCAGCATCACTTAAATAAGAAGATACAACCCAGGCATCATCTGCAGCTTCTTCATTTAAAAAATCTAACACTGCTCAAGGAAAAGATTAAAAACTCAGGACCCCCTTCATTGCCACGAGAAAATTATACACATTTCTATTATGTGGAATTCCACTACTCATAAACAAAAACTCCATATTCAAAGAGATAAATATTTACCATTCTCATGCAGAAAATCAGTGATGGGTCTCGCTTGGCCATGTGCTTGTGAAAGAACAACTTCCGGAACATCCATCTTTAGCGGAAAGCGCGTGAATTCCTCCTTTAAAACAAATACACCTCTATCTGAAAACATATAACTACATAGAATGAGATTACTGAAGCATATTGCAGTGTCAGTTTAAAGAATACAAATGCAGGAAGGTACTAATCTTAAGGCATACAGGAAACTATCTAGCAAACTGAATATACAATTATCCTTCTAAATCTGAAAAACTGACATGTCACAAAAACTATTAAAAATGGATCCTACAGGAAAGTATATACTAGTGAGGATGAATTAAAACAATCTACAGTTGCAAGCGTCTGCAGCAATACTAAAAGGTCATTGTAACAACAACAGCAACATCCAAGCCTTAATCCCAAAAGAATTTGGGGTCGGCTAACATGAATCGATCTATAAAAGGTCATTGTAACAAATGGTCAGAAAAACTAAACCGTAGTTTGTGTACTCCGGTAGTTGTGAAAAAGAATTGGGCATGGTTTGAGATTCCCTTTATAGTCTAATAATGAAATGGATAGAGCATGTACATCACCTAAATTACTAATACCATTTGTAAAACCTGTGCTTTTTAAGGCAATTTATGAAAAGTTGGGAGAAAAAGTTTTCAGAGAATATATATTATCATCAGCACCTTTAACCCAACTAGAGTTTGGTAGCATTAAATTCATAGTACTAATTGTTTGTATAAAAAACTTTACACCATACATGATACATTCATGCTAATAAAGCATAGTGGTATGTCTTGTGCCGGATGGCCATCTAAAACCACTATGATCATTATTTAATTCAACATTCAGGGAAAATAGCATGAGATGGTGATGAATTGAGGCAAAAAAATGAAAGACAAAAGTTACAGAACTCATAACCCCATTCAGCCAAGCAAATAGGAACAGTACAATTCAACTATCACACCTGAGGAATTAGTATCTTCGTTCTCTCTTTTGTTGTGCAGAAATTTCCCTAATGCGTGGAACAAAGAAATGGTTTCATCTCTGCCAAATGTCATAGATATTTGATTATATGAAGTATTGGCATGATCTAGACTTTCTTTTGAAGGAGTAGAGTAACAGCTCGAGGAAGGTTGAGAAGGCATTGACTGTTGGTTCAGGCAGAAGTACTGTAATGATGTAATAGCATTCCTGATATCACCTCCACTTGCTTTTGATATTGCTTCAATTGAATCAGCAGTAACATTAACTTGTTCCATTCGGCATATTTTTTCAAGACTTTTTTTCATAGAATTGAATGTAATTGGATTGAAAGTCACCTGAAAATTTTCTGTTTAGTTACAACCAATAGATTAAGGAGGAATTAATCTGCATACTCCCTGTCCTAAAATAATTTAGGTTTTTAAAAGCTGCATGCCTATTAAGGAGCCTTACGAAATGATCATCCTATCCTTATTTATGGCATTAAATGCATTTCATTTACTTAATGGTATAAAACATTTACTGTATAAAGAGTTACAATGGTCAAATTTGGAAGTACAGTATAAGCATTTAATTCTTAAAACATCACTTATTTAGGGACAATTGCTTGGGGAAAAATGACAATTAATATGGGATGGAGAGAGTATTAACTCATTAAGTACTTCAAGGAATGCAACCTTACAAGCCCCGGCAGATTCCAGAGACTGGAGGAGTTCCTCTGGGTAGCGCATGTGGAAGTCGGTAGAGTCAGCCTTGCTGTGGTCCGTGAAGAGCATGGCTGTGGGAACACGAACTGATTGAACAAGAAGTGTTAAGCACCTCTTGAGTCTTTCATAGGTTACTTTTCCATTTACAACTGGAAGATCATCAATTAGGAGTACAACTGGTGCCAGTGGTCGTGAAGTTACAGATGAGGGAAGTATCCCATACTTTCTCATCCTTTCCACAAAACTTTCAAACTCATCCAACTTGGACATGTACCTTAGGCCTAGATCAGAGCAGTGAAATTACAAAATTAGCTACTAGAGATGAGAGGCCAGAGTTGCATACAACACGCAAATGGGGAAACAAGATTCTATTTAAAGTCATAATACTTCCCAAATGTTATATATTATCTCTATACAGGTTGTCATAAATGAAATAAAAGAACATGGATCAATTTCAGCAATGCTACTAACCAAAAGTACGACCACACACTAAGCATGAGAAAGACCACATCGTACATACATATCTTCTTGAAGGAACACATAAACAGCCATTGTGTACAATGCAAATGGTGTCTGCATTGATTAGTGGATTTAGTGCGTCTGTGAGGTACCTGAGTTGGAATTGTGCAAATGTTCTTGCCAAATCGTCGGAGTAGGAGTATTCCATTCACAAATATCAGCTCCAATAAGCGATGCAATAGCATGAACAGTTGTCTTGAGATGACAAACACCAAGCCATTTTCATATAATTATATGAGTGGAAAGAACAAGAAAATTTCATTGAAAGCAGAAATGATTCATAAATGTAAAGGCAACTTACAGATTTTCCAACTCCAGCAGGCCCAGCAATCAGAAGAACATGGTTTAATGATCTATCCTGCACCCAGTTTGTAGCAGCAATGTTGAATCTCATGAGGCACCAAAGTGAGAAGTTACATGAACAGGCAAGTAGAAATTCTTTTGAAGCATCAAAATGATTTATCAAAGTCCTCCAGGAAACATCAATCATCACACAGGGATCAAATCATGTTCCTCAGTTATATATGAGTCAGGGAGAAGGGGGGCAAACTAAAAGGAATACAAATCATGTTTTTGTTTCTCATAATGACAACAGTACCATTCTATTTATCACTCTCTCCTCAAACCATATCTTGACCTCTTCAACCTGAAAAATCAATACAGTTTTAGCTGCTAGAGAAAAATCCGTGAAATCTTTATCTGCGAAAAGGGAAAACAATCAAAAGAAGCTCGAAGATAAAATCTGGAAAATCAAAAGTCTACCTTCTTCTTGTGAACAGCTAGCTCATCAAGAGAACAAGGCTTGTATTTATCAACCCACAGGTCAGTGCTGCTATCTCGGCCTACTCCATTGTCATTATCATTTAACCTTTTAGTTGGCAATTCAATGAACATAAAGGGGCCCATAATAGTAAATATCTAAAAGTATTGGATAGCACACATGGCAATTTGAGAAAATCTTGCATTCAGATTAGAACTATGTGTAGTATTATGAAGCAAGATAACCTAAGCACTTTATGTTGCACCCCTGCATAGTGAACTTCTTCACCAGAGAAAGTAAACTTGCAAAGGTTGGAAGTATATCGAACGTGTAGAAAGATAACCTAATGTTTACTCTTATTCAGTGTTTTGTCTTTCTTTTTCAAGAAGCGTGTGCTCAATAAACAATCTAATTACATCAACATGTAATACTAGGGATCTAAAATTAGCATACCAGTAGATACCTTGAGCTCAGAGAACCCTCCTTTACATTCATCACAAAACCTTTTTATCTGCATTCACAACACTATAGCAACTTATAAACAGAAAGTTGAAACAAAACATAAGAAATGATCTAGAGAATGTACTAAATGTAGCTATTATAGCCCTCTATGACTTTCAGCAATCAAAACCCCAGTACTACTAATTCTAGACAACTGGCAAATACAAGCTCAAGTGCTCAATAACAGCAGAGCACGGCCTATCACAGAATGTAGTGGAGCAATTACAGTTTGCGACACATATAACTATGAAATGTATTAAGGAATGCTTTTAATTGGAGAACCACAAAATTAAAAATAATCTGACCAAAATGAGTACGAACACTAGTACACTACAGAGCATTTACAGCACTTTATGTTGCATCCCTGCATAGTGAACTTCTTACATCACTGTTTACGCCCATTATGCTCATTCCAAATACATAAAGTGATGTGATGCACTACTCAAAACGTCCAGGCTAAACTTAAAATGAAGTGCAGTAGTTGAACGTCAAAGCTCACCTCGTCGAACCCACTGTATGTGGTACGCTGACGCGGAAGCGAACTCGAACCGGAAAGAGGGACTATCTTAGCTCTCTTAGGGTTCTTTCTTGGAACGGACGCCGACCTCGACTTCAATTTCAGCTTCGGCTTACCTGGACTCGGTTCCATCACAAAGTCTCCATTTCCTTCATCATCGGATGACGAAATGACAATGGCGGAGTTTCGCTTGCCTCTCCCCATCCCGGCTAGAGGATGAAATCAATGCGGCAGGGCACGGCTACTGTGGTGTTGACCTGAACCCTAGGCTGCGAGGAGGTTGAACCCCGGACAGAGCTGAATTGTTTCGTATGAAGAAAGCGGGGTTACGGAGTTGGCTGTTTAATTTAACAAATGACGGCATGGTGTACTAGACAAGCCATGCCTTCTCAAGTTCTGCGCGTTTGAGCGGGTAAACTTGTAAAGCTTCTTCTTCTACGAGTACTATTTTGCTTTTTCCGATAAAAAAACAAGTAGAATATCAAAAGATAGTTTGAAAATACTCCGTATATTACTCGTTTCCTCAGAGTCAGAAGCAATGAGGCATATTACTTCACTCTTACTTCTTCCTTCAATGATTATAATTTATAAAATCAATATAAATTTTTATTGTATGCATCCACGTTTTTAATATTCTTCCCCATATGCATATTAACTCCTAATATTCTCATGAAGAACCAAATTGGCCACCTTAAATGCTAATTTTAAATACACCAAGAATAACTATTTAGGTCATTGGTGTGTAAATGAAACAAAAAAAAAAGAATATTAGGGTTTTACAAAAAGAATAATTTCTTTGTTGTGAAAAGTTTTATAACTTGTATATATATAGTTATATACTTTATTTCCAAGACCTTAAATTTGGGTTAAATGGTCCTTCCTAATTTTTATATAAAATAGTTACATTTTTTACTATAGAAATATTGTAAAAGTTCAACATAAATTTAAACGAACGAATACCAGAGTTTTAAAATGTGTGTAGCATTTTTTAAAAAACATAATTTTTTGTCATTATGTATGCATCTAAACACAATGACTAAGCCTGAAATCTATGGTTGGAGGGTTAGTTCTTGAAATTTCTACATTGCGGTGGCCAAACCTTAAAATATCCATATTTTATAGATTAAAAAATTTATATACATAAAATATACATTAAAATATTTTTCTTGGGGGAAGGTTTGATGTTGTAATGTCAGACGGACACTAAAGCTATTCAGTCTCTACATTGTCAAATAACTTAAACTAGTGTATGTACCCGTGCACCGCACAGTAAGATATGTGTTTAATTTTTTTTTTTTGAATTTATAGGGATCGTGGATTGTAATAATTCGTCAATTGAAGTTTAAAAGAGAACTTGATTGACTATATATACAGATGTCAAAATGAGTCAAACGCCATCGGGCTTGCTCGTTTTACGGTGGATTGCATTTTAATAACTTGATTAAGTCACTGGTTTCGTGGGTCAACATGCACATGTTGTGGGTACGGTGACTATACAACTTGCGATTTTGTCAAAATATAAAAATCTAGTTCTGACTTTCACTATCTTAATTATTATTTGTTTACTATGAAAACGATTTGCTATTATGTACTCCTATATCTAATTGAACTACTATTTCTATAATTATGCAGGTTGTGCGTAGTACTTGTTATTTAACATCAACCTTCATTGAACAACTATTTCTATAATAACAATTCAAATAAATTATTGGTGCATATTTTTTATTTTGTAGTTGAAAATATTTTTTTATCAATCAGTGGTCATTGTCTACAAATATATACTCAAAAACCTAATTATAACCTTATTTTTTGCACAATTAGTTATTTTGATTAAATAATATTTTTAATTAAACTTATCAACTATGGTGTTTTTAGTACTCTAATTTCTTATATTTCCTTTTATTACTACTTACACACAAAGAAGTTGTTTATGAGGTTCAATAGATTCTATAGAACAAATCCCTCGATTTTTGGGTCCCCAAGTTTTTAATAATTTATTAGTACTACCTCCGCCCCCTAAGTTTGGGACAAAGGGGCGTGGTGTGATTTTTAAGAAAAAGTGGAATTGTGTGGTTGGTATAGAATTGATAAAGTGTGAATAAAGTAAGAATGAATTCTAACCATTCAAATATTACCAAATATGGTATGAGACAAACTTAATGGGACAGACGTAAAAGGTAAAACAGGACAAAGTTGGAGGGACAGAAAGAGTATTATATAGTAATATTAGATATTAACATTAATCAGTAAAATACAGTGAGTACGAAAGAAAAATACAGATATATCATTTTTTTCGTTGGCCATTTTACTTCTCTTTTATTCAAATTGCTCGAGTAATGAGGCGTGTTGCTTCAAATCCATTGTAAAGTAAATTTTAGATTTTGTATTACATTATTTAATGACTATTCGATTGATTTGTGTATACGTATTAAGATTGTTACTTTTATATTAATGTGATGTCTCGATTTTACATTTGGAACTGGGACCTCCAAATTTATTAGACGACTTTTGTCTACCCACACACACACATACATACACACACTATGTATATACTTTGGATCAAATGTGAACATGATCTAAGAAGAAAAATGAGAATGAATTTGAAGCATTAGATTTTAGAGTTGATCATCGTGTGAAGTAGAAATGTGCACTACCAAAAATCAGAAAATGAAGTGACATTTTGTAGATAAGTTTTGCCTTTTATGCCCATTTAAACTACCATTATTTTAATTATATATGTTCGCATCCATTAATCATGATGTGCATCGTTTCAGATAATTCTTATTTAAGGGTAATTGTTTTCAAGATCTTTTTCATGTGTATTTTTTACATTAATCAGCGGAGCGCCGTTTAAAACCTGCAAGATTTTGTTGGAAAAGAAGTATGAGAGGAATATTTTTTATTTTAAGAGGCTAAAGTTTGTTATTTATTTTTTTATTTTTGAGCATTTGCAAATTATGTGTTACCGTCAAGTGAATGTTTTTACCTATATTTATACACAACGTTGTGATGCATAAATACAAATATACATATATATAATACTCCTAGCTAACTTATATATAATACACATAAATTTTTATCTAAATTTTTATTGGAATACATATGAGTGGGGGTTTGGAAGTTGAATATTTTTTGTTTAATGGTGTTGCCACATTTAATCTTTTTCTACAAAAGATGGTGCCACATGTCAATTATTCATCCAAAGAACTCTCCAAGGGTTAGCTTTATTATATTATATAGATATGGACTCCATTGATATGGAAACAATCTATAGATTCCATCAATACAAATTTCCCTTTCATTTTAACACCGTCAATAAAATATACACAACATATTTTTTACATGTCAATGTAGTACAAACATTATTTGAATTATTAGTACAAACATGTCAAATAACATATATTTTTTTACACGTAAAGTAATTTTCTAAACTACCGGTGTAAACAGTGTAAACAAAAACATATGTATCTAGTCACCGTGACGAAGCCTGGATACATATGATATGATATGGCGGCATTCCATTGATGGGGGTTTGATGATTTTGTGATGTCAGACATGCACTAAGCTGTTCACGTCTCTACATTGTCAAATAACTTAAATATGGACCCTATTGATATGGAAACAATATATAGATTCCGTCAATACAGATTTTCCTTTTATCTTAACACCACCAATAAAATACACACAACATGTTTTTTACATGTCAATGTAGTACAAACATTATCTGAATTTTTAGTACAAACATGTCAAATAACATATTTTTTTAAACGTAAAGTGATTTTCTAAACAAACAGTATAAACAGAAACATATGTACTGTGTTTTTATGTTGTGTTTATGACTAGGTGTATTGCCACATTTCTGTCAAATTCTGTTAGGTTTTTTTCAGGTTTTGATGTTTCTGTTTTTTGCAGGTGCGAGGGGAAGTTGTCAAACGGTTTGGCGATTTTCTCCAACCTTGATTAAGCCCAGCAATAGATTGATAAATAGTTCTAACTCAATATTATTTCGGTAAATACTTATTTAATTCGCATTAATAATTTGAAATAATTTCGGTAAAAAAACTCCTTTTTATGAGTTGCTCTATGTATTTGAATTATTATAATTTTAAAATAAAAAAAATATTCCACTTTTGTTCTCACACTTGTTCTATGTTTTCTATCCCTACGTTTTTCCTAATAAAAGGAGACCGCTAAAGAAGAATCTATTTGTTCACAAACATCATGTCTAATTGAGATGCTTTCAGACAGAAAGCATGTTACAATTCTCAATATCTACGGAGAATAGGAGTTAGCTTAAAATGGCAGCATTGAATATTGGAAGGAATGACAAATAAAATTTTATTCTTTTCAACAACCGTGTGAAATATAAAAAATGTTGTTTGTACTCACCCATGTTTGTGAAGGCCTTTTTTTGTCTATGAATTCCGTTCATAGGCAATTTTTGTTTGTGTAAAAATTGCACAGACAGAATAACACATACTTTATCTGTGAATCGAATTCACAGACAAAAACTTTCACAAACATGGTGGGTATAAGGTGAGTATAAGAGTGGGTACATCAAACATCGTTGGTGAAATATTGGCATCCTTGAATCATGTGACATTTTATTCTTTTCTTTGAAGAAGGCATCTCCATAAAAATGAGACAGCAAGTCAGCAACTATAAACATATCTAATTGAGTTCTAATTACTCAAAAGTGTGATTAACGCAAAACAATACTCGCTTCCTCCCATAAAATAGTTCCCGCATTGACTTGGATCGGAGTTTAAGAAAATTGAAATAAAGTAGAAATGTATGGTTGTGGTTGAGTAAGAAAGAAATACTTCGTAAATGAATGATAGCAACATAAAAGTTTCCAAAAAAGAGAAATGAGAATTATTTTTGGGGACGATCCAAAAATAAACCGGAAACTATTTTACGGGATTGGGGGAGTATTTTAAAGAGCACAACGAGAATTTTGTAATAAGGTAAAATATTATGTCACGGAGAGAAATGAAAAGTTTTATTCCAAAGTCCACGGCAAATTAAAAAAACAAGAGAAAAACAATTTTTAGTCTAACCGCACCATCTGTAGACTTATGCACTTCTTTCATACTTAAGTATTTAATTGTAAAAACGGGATATTTGAAAAAACGTGATTTTTACACAAAGAGACCATAATCATAGCTTAGAGGCCATAGTCACATTTTTACTCATAAATTTAGGAAAATGTTCAATAAACAAACGTTTAGATTAATTAATTAATGAATAAATCTATCAACATACAGCTTTAATTCAGAAATAAAGATATTTAACTCTATTGAAAAAGTTTGAACTTTCTTTTTGCATATCTTACTAAATCTATTATAGTATCCGCTCCAGTTAATGTCAACATCCTTAATTGGGATGAGACTCCAACTTGTGTTGTGACCTCCTCTTTGGAAGATCAACGGTGATTTATAAGACTACAAGGTACTTGAACTTTTGAAAATTAGCATTGAAACAAATTTAAAAACTTATACGGAGTAATATATCTTTTTGATATTTAATAAGCATACATTTTTTGTTAAAACCACCAAAAATAATAATGAATTATGATACAAGTGAAAAATAAAGAAGTGCTATGTGTTTGTATATACCAAACATACACAGTTACACACTCAAGATGTTTTTAACTGGATTGATTTTTTTAATCCGGTCTAATTGGTCTCTTTAAGTTTTAACTTGTCCGATCAATATATAATCTATGTGTATTTTATAAATGTTTTAACTATTACTACCTCAGTCCCGCTATGATTGTCCCGTTTTACCTTATTAGTCTGTCCCACTAAGATTGACCCATACCAAATTTGGCAAAGTTTGTGTGGCTCTAAATCATTCTTACTTTATTCTTACTTTATCAATTCAATATCAATCACATAAACCAGATTTGCGTGTCACTCCCTCTTGTCCCGTTGTTAGCAGGACGGAGGGAGTAATTTTTTACTCCCTCCGTCTCTTAAAACTTTGTCATCTTTCCTTTTTGGGACGTCCCAAAAAACTTTGCCACTTTTCCTTTTAATCAATTATTTTGTGATTTCTGTTATTTCTCTCTCCTCTACACAAACCTCAACCACACAGTTTTTACTTTATTATTCTTCGTGCCGATCAACTTTGGTAAAGTTTTAAGGGAGTATGTCGGAACTTAAATAACCCCAAGTAAAATCACCCTTACACAGTTACCCCTTAATACTACTCCCTCCGTCCCGCTAACAATGGAACAAAAGGGAGTGACACACAAATTAATAAAAAATGGTTTATGTGGTTGATATTGAATTGATAAAGTAAGAATAAAGTAAGAATGATTTAGAGCCACACAAACTTTACCAAATTTGGTATGTGATAATCTTATTGGGACGGACCGATAAGATAAAATGAGACAATCATAGCGGGACGGAGGTAGTATCAATTTTGTATTTAGTTCTTCTATACTTCCAGAAGAATCTCACCTCAATTCCATAAAAATCAGTGTCGTTTGTATAACTACTGTATATTGAACTTCTCATATCACCTTCTTACAATTTTTGAAATTTTCATTACTCTATGATTTATGAGTGAGAATTATTTATGTATGACTAGAATAAAGATTATTTACAAAAATGTGAATTGTGACAATAGTAATAATTCCATTTTTAAACTAAAGTGATTGATCATGACACTATACTGTAGCAACTATAAGTTATGTTTGGATAAATAAGTTGTATTCTAAAAATACTTTTGAAAAGAATCAAATATTATTATAATTACTATGCATACTTGGATAGTGATCACTATAATACTTTTTATGGATACATCGGAAAAGAATAGTCACTGTCATATAAAGTTGAATAAAAAGTCAAATTTTATCCACAACTTTATTTTCAATCATACATTTATCATTAAATTTCAATCCAATTAAAAATATCTTTAGACTGAGTAAATATTTTGTTGGAATAATGATAAATGTATGACCGAAATTAAAGTGGTGGATAAATTTTGACTTTTTATTACACTTTATATTACAGTGATTGACTATTCTTTTGTTGGTCTAGTATGTTTAAGTCTGGTTTGGTATGCTCTTAATTGGTTTGGTAGATGTCCTTTTATGTGTATTTTACAACATTCAAAGTTTGATGATTTGGTATGTTCTTTTTAAGTTTGGTTTGATCGATTCTGATCCGAGAATGCGAGATTGGAATTTGTCCATCTTTTTTGTGAAATGAAATCAGTCAAAATGAAAACGTCCAAAAAATGTATTTAGGATGTTTTCTTTGAGAGTGTAATTTGCTGATTTGGTTTTGTATGATATGGTCTGGTCTGGTCTGAACTGATTTGATCTGATAAATGTCTAGTCTTTGTGTATTTTATAACTGTCCAAGTCTGATCTTCTATGGTCTGGTCTGATATGTTTAAGCTTGGTCTGATCTGATTTGTTTAAATTTGATCTGATCTTGTATGGTCTGGTCTAGGACTGAAAATAGTCCAAAAGAAAACAACGGTAAGCTAATTAACTTTAATTTAATCGTTTATCGTTAAGTTTATAATAATACTCCGTATATATATACGTGCGCAGAGCATCATTTTGTGATTGATGCTCCGGTCCAAATTAAAGCACATACAACAAGTATACCGTATACATCCATCTATATATCTCAGTCGATCTGCATTATAATTTGTTCGGATCATCAGATATTAATTATTTAATTTCTTAGTTGAAGAATATAATATAAGTTTGTAAACACATCTGATAATATAATAATCTTCACACATACTTTTGAGTAATATAATGGCGTCCAGGAGAATTTTGAAGGAGCTTAGAGACCTGCAGCGAGACCCTCCAACATCGTGCAGTGCAGGTACGTATACATGCATCATCACCGTTGTCTCAATTATATAAGGATCCTATGAGGATTACAAAAAATAGACCTTATACATAATACGTTCTCAATTCTTTTTTAAATACAACAGTACACTTTTCATGTTTGCCAACGTACAAGTTTGACCATTAATATTTTCAATACTTTATTAGTAAAAAGATTAAAAGAAAAAGATTTTGAGACTTTAAAATGAGGGGAATTTGCGTAGCCCACTTTCTTTTCATTTACTGTGGCTGAATTCGATTCGCGTCCCAAACCGATGATGTCTATCTACAAATCGAACCGATTTTTCGGTTATCCAATTTACCTTAACCGAAGCCGAACCAATCTTAAAACGGTTACCAATGTTTGGTACCCGATTTTTTGGTTCGATTTTTCATTAACCAAAAGAAACCGACTCATTAGTACTACCTCCATTCTCTTTTAAATTTTTTACTAATAAGGACTAGAGCGCCACTCTTTATCTGCCAACTTGTTATTAAAGTCTAATTTAATAACAAGTCTGGTCAGTGTTGAGGACCCTGGAGAATGTAGTGTCATCCTTTATTTTTGTATTATTGACATCAGAAGAATAAAATGTCAGGCCCTGTTGCACAAGACATATTTAATTGGCAAGCAACCATAATTGGTCCAAATGACAGTCCTTTTGCTGGAGGTGTTTTCCAAGTCAGCATCAATTTCCCCCAAGATTATCCTTTTAAACCTCCTAAGGTAAGCATCCGACCCAATTTATGCATCATTTGAAAATTTAATCAAAACAACATAGCTAGCTAGTTAGATACACATTCTGGCAGGTTTCCTTCAGGACCAAAGTTCTTCATCCAAATATAAACAATAATGGGAATATCTGCTTGGATATCCTCAAGGATCAATGGAGTCCAGCACTCACCATATCCAAGGTTGGAAAATTTTATTTGCTCGGGTTATTATTTCATTAACATTACAATTTTCTAAGGCTCATGACCATCCCAAATTCATGGATCCGTCCCTGCTAATATGATACTATATTTTTTTTTATTATTTCTTAAAAATCACCAGCTTTGATGCAATTAATTAATTAATTCCTAAGTATATTGTTTCTTGAATTTGGGATATTGCAGGTTTTGCTATCCATATGTTCAATGCTGACAGACCCTAATCCAGATGATCCCCTGGTTCCAGAAATAGCTCACATGTACAAGACTGACAGGTCCAAGTATGAAGCCATGGCTCGAAGTTGGACCAACAAATATGCCATGTATTGATCTGATGATCGATTAGGCCTTGCTTGGTTTGTGTTATCGTTGTTTTGTTCATCAATTTAAATAAACTTCTTGGTTGTTTATGCCCAATGTTCAATAATGGCTATGTATAGTATGAATCAAAGTTCGAATTTCTTGTGAAAAGTTACATTATATTATGAATATATTAATGTTTTCTAGGACTGAACAGATAAATTGTTTTCCCATGTTTGGTTGGTTTATTGAGCAAATAATGGCCAATCTATAATAATGTTACTTACCTTAACTATTGATAATGATATACTGCATGTTTTAGTACGTTAATTATTGAATAAGTAAATTGATGCTCTAGCACTATGCTAGAAATCGGAGGAGATACGATTATTGAATAGTAATAAATTATAAGATAATTATTTTGATCAATCATATTTATGGTTGATCCAATACTCTCATTTATTTGTGAGATAACGTAGCACTCACCAAATAATATATGGGGAGGGTGGGCAAATTTCAAATATTTGATACGTAGTAATAATGTACTAACATGCTTAAAGTTATAGGGTCCTTTTTTTTAGGGTCCGTCCTTGTGCCTTAGCTTACTCCGTAGAAAATCTTTTCATGGGTCAAAAGTAATTAACATCAAAGGGATTTTATAATTATGGATGCCAACAAAGTTGTAAATTATTCATTCAATCGAATATTATAAGATGCACTTTTTAGTTTTCATAAAATGTGAATATTTTCCTAAATTGAATTTAACTAACTTTTTATATCCCTACTTGAACCTGTTATCTATCATTCCACATATTTACTTTTTGTTGACTCATAATAGTTTTTCGGGTTTAATGCACCAAATCCTCCTATGATATGGAAATTCAACGCATTAGCTTCCTATGATTTAAAAAAAACGTCAAACTCCCTTGTGTTTTAATTAATTATGCGCAAAATTCCTTCTATGAACAAATTCAATTGTCAAATATAAGAACAATGATTAACATTTTTGTATTATTTAGAGATTTTGACATATTTACTTGCATATTCAATCAGAACATTAGGAAAAGTGATCTCAAAATCATTAAATTTAGTCATAAAAGGGGTTCTGTGCATGATTAATTAAAACACAGGGGGGTTTGACGCATTTTTCAAATCACAAGGGGCTAATGCGCTGAATTTATATATCACAAGGGGGGTTGGTGCATTAAACCCATAGTTTTTCTTACTTTATTTTCTCAATGTTTGCGTTTAATCAAATGGGTCTTACATTTGTGGATAGAGGGAGTACCATTTAAGGATGGCTATGGATGAGTTCTCCATCCTACCTTGTTACATTTAATAGGAAAGTGATAATGTTACATGGCTAGGAAACTATCACAAAAACAAGCATCGTCTCTCAAATTATCTCACATACAAAGTATATGTAAATTTTGTATTGATATTGGTTTGTGTCTCATAGAGACATTCCCTTGCGTGTTAATTTATGTTATACACACTACCATAGTACCATTATCGTGTGACATTGAGTTTTTAGTGTACTCATCGTGTTAGCCGATGGGTATTTTAAAATATGATAGTATAGTTATTATGTTTGCAGGTCCAGTGGCACAAGATATATTTAAGTGGCATGCAACCATAATTGGTCCAAATGAGAGTCCCTAGGCTGGAGGTGTTTTCCAAGTAACTTGTTTCTTTGTGACAAACTTAATAGCAGAACTTAATATCCATAAGTAGTCATATTTGTGACAACAAACAAAAACTTGTTTCTTGATTATGGGATACTACAGGTATTGCTATCCATATGCTCACTGCTAACAGATCTGAATCCAGATGACCCTTTCCAGAGATAGCTCACATGTACAAGACTAAAAGGCCACAGTATGACGCCATGGCTCGCAACTGGATCCAGAAATATGCCATGAATTGATCTTATGGGGTGTTCTAGCATTGCTAAGTTGTTTGTTTTGGATATAACTCATGGGCTTGTTTCCCATATTTATTAATGGCTAAGGAATTAACTGGAACCATAAATTCATTACTTAAAAGAAAAAGTGACAAAGTTAGTAGGACATAAAAAAAAAGTTGGCAAAGTTCTAAGAGAATGAGGAAGTATTTCCTAGGTATTGAATTGGAGAATGAATGTATTTTTACTCCACAAATATTATAAAATCGGCCAGTCCATGGGTTAGAGTGTCAGGGACCGCACCTGGGGGGTGGAGGTAGGTACCTATTAAAATTATTTCTTAAGATATACTCGAAGTACTTTATTTAATTATTGTCTAAATAACCGTGCTGTTTTGCTATGGGAACCTTCCAACGGGACGGAAGTAGTACTTCATATGAGACTAGATTACATGATCATAATTATAGCGTAGAAGCATGGAGTATCAGGCAGGAATTTCCAAACCATGTTTTTTTCATAAACAGCAAGCAAAATCAGTGTGAAGACACAACTTTCAATATTTGTTGAAAACGGAGTGGCGGTAATAATTTAATTTAATCACGCTCACTGATAGCCGTCAGGTGCTCATCAATCTCATCTGTTGATAACACTCTAAAAGTTTGATCATCTTTCCTCACAACACCAACCTAACATTTGCACACAACATTATGTGAAACAGTCAGCATCTATATATAGAACACGTGGCAACTAGAGAAACACAGAAGATATGACTGATACCTCAATCTCACTGGCCTTGAAATCCTCCTGTAATACCGACTGAAGAGCAGAAACTGCAGTCTACAAAAAAGGACAAAATAAGTTAGCAATCCTTGGGTCAGAATAATAGAGTATGCCAGAATAAATTAGTTCTACTTCTTTGTTTCAAATTACCTGAATGGTTTCCTCATAGGAGAAAACGGGATCATTTTTCATCTTCTTCTCCAGAAAATTAACTGCCTCTTGTTCTTTTGATCCAGCACTTGTTGCCTTCCAATTAATAGTTTTATTAGTTTAGTGAAAATACTGTTTTTTCTGAGGGAAGCAAAAGATGTGGAGAACTGCTACTATTAGCTCTATGGGTACACTTGCTCAGTTCATCTCAAGAAAACAAACTTTGATGGTTGAAATTTTGAATACAAAGTATTAGTTGAGAAAAATAAAAACAACTTTCAGTAATTTTCTCTGTCTGCAAAATTTACCTTGTGACCAAAAAAATGACCAGCTGGGTCACACTTGAAGAGCTGAGGTCCCTTTTCATCATCAATGCCCACAACCATCGCAACTTAACATTGCAAAAGCCAATAATAAGAACAATAATAACATAATGATATTTATTACAACAATACTGATAATAATAAGGGTCATCATAACTACCGAGTCTAGAGCTATGGTTAAGCATTAATTAAAGAAGAACGTGTTTCGTGTTTTGCAAGAACAAATAATTCATCAAAGGATCCCATTAATTATTAAAAAACTGAATGTTCCTTGAAAATTACATAGGATAATCTACCATCATTACACCTTAAATATAACCAGCCATTAGCTTTGCGCTTAACACTTTCCTGATAATAGTAATACTCCTGTCCCATAAAATTCTTCCCGGTTTGACTTGGAGCGAAGTTTAAGAAAGTGGGAATAAAGATTGTGGTTGAGTAAGACAAAGGTAAATGAATGTTAGCCATACAAAACTTTCCAAAAAGGGAAATGGGAAGAATTTTTTGGGACGTCCCAAAAAGGAAAGTGGGAAGAATTTTAAGGGACGGAGCCCGGAGGGTGTAACTAATAACAAAAAGAAACAGAAACAATAATAACAGAGCTCTAGAAAACCCAGAACAAGTTAATAGAAGATTCGAGGAGTGCATGTGGGTAGTGACAAACCTATTCCAAGGGGTCTCATGTAGGCATGCTGAGTATAAACCTGGGATTTGTCTGCAATCCTATTTTTGTATACAGAAATATATCATTCACATCATCAAAAACTTATATGTGCTTCAAACTCTAATCTGTTACCATAGATGTTGAATATCTAAAAACAAATACCAATTAGTGCACCAAAATTTTGCATCTATAGGCCCTACAGTCATTATGTGCAATGAACCACTCCCTTTGTTCTGAAGTATCGCTTTAGACATCTAAATACATATTAACGAAAGACTATTTTTATCAACCTCAAGAGAAATCTTTGCTTACATAATAAGAGCCAATAACGTTAGTATAGTTCTTTTGTCGTCACCTCTTTCACTTCCTATCCAATTCTTTCTAACGGCACCGTTACGGCGTTAACCAAATAAAAAACCAGCTTCTTTGCGTCTATTCGTACGCCAATTATTCAACATCTACGTAACTTCCCATCTCTACATTCACAAGTAGTTTATACATTTCAGGGGCGGTGACATGTTGACAACGTCTTCCTCCTCAGTTCAATTCTGTCACCATTCCACTTCACAAACAAGGTATTCATTTAAATCTATTCCAATCGCTCCACCTACTTGCAATTGAGAGTGAAACTTATACGGTCTTTAATGAATTCCCTATTAGTTCTTCTTCCTGTTAGATTAGCAGTGATGAATTACTTGAGGTTCAAAGTAGGATTCTAATTGATATTTGCAGGATTAAATATATTCCCACAAACTGCATTTCCTTCTGCCTTACATTCTGCCTGCGATTTAGATCTTGTTCGAATAATCTCTACTTTACTTTGTTACGAACTTTTATCAACATGGCCATAACTGTTTGCTAAAATACCTTAGTCAATGGCTGTTTGTAAACTTGGAATAATCTCTTTAATCTAAAAGAAAAACAAAACTAACATAACTTTCTATTATTTCTTCGATTAACTTATTAACTTATATTGTTTCTTTAAATTCTGCCTATTTGTTGACAGAAAATACTTCTACGTACTCTTGACCGGGTATTACATTTAGCATAGGCTTAATTGACTATTTCACTACAAACTAAATAGGTTCAATAAGTCACATTAACTAACAATATATCAAACGAATAATCTAGCGTACTCCATAATTTTTCAGTTTATTAAATTTACTCTAAACTAGATCCTAGCAATGAAATCTCTTTCATAGTTTCATCATCTAGATATATTATCCTAGCTTTTTCCCACTACACTAAAAATTAGAAAATAAGGTCTTACTATTTATTTCAAAACATTCTAAATGTAGTAATGTTTCACTGCAAATGCCAAAGTAAGACCAAGAGTTAGGTGTTGAAATCATTGCAGTGTATTTAGTGAATAAAAAAATATCAAAGTGAAGATGGTTAAAAGTGGAATAAGAAATTCAGAGAGAAAACAACAAGGCTGTTAGAATAAGAAGGCATATGTACCTGTCAATATGAATAAGAAAACATAATCCTCATTTTACAGTTAGGCTCTAAGGGGAACCTTCCCCTTAATTAAAACCACCTACGATTTCAAGGAAGTCTCCTGGTGTTGGGAGATGCCATTTTGTATGGATAATACTGGTGTTTGTGTAGAAGGTTTTCCACTTGTAGCCATTTACTAATGAATAAGAGGATACATGTATATGTCCATATAAATAAGAAGACATATAGATCCTTGAAGTTTTTTCCATTGCCATCTCCAATATTTATGAAGTTTTTTTGTTTTGCTATTTTTTCCATTCAACCATCAGTCCATCACCAAACTCTAGGATGTTTTCTGGCTTTGCTAGCATTTTTGGGTAATAAAAAGGCACGGTATACTAATTTTATACATACTTTCAACAATTTAAAAAAAACCGATACTCTTTTTTTTAAATCGTGTATTTCAATCTAACTCCTTTCGTATGAATAATACTGGTGTTCTCCTAGATGCTTTTCCAGTCTACACATTTTTCTGTGTTGAGGAAAATTTAAAGAAATTATTACCTGCTTTTGTTTTTTCTGCGCTTCATTCCGTTGTTTCATGCTACAAATTAAATGACGGCATGCTACTTATATGATTGCATACAGTCAACATATGGGCTCGATATATGATTGTCAACAGGCATGAGAAGTAAACTTGCCAACAGCCACACACTGGATAACATATGGGCTCAAAGCATTTCTCTGGTGGTTCTAAAGAAACTCTGGGATGAGTTTCCTTTCAATACTGGCCAGCACCATGACTTCTTAGAGAACGTATATTTTCCTTTTCAACGAGTTGTTTCAGTACAATAGAAAGAAGAGTATATTGAAAATCCTTTCATTTTTTTGAATCCTGCGACCACACAGTATATTTTTGAATCATTCATTGGTGGATTTATAATACAACAAGTGGGGTATACGGCATTTTGTCCAAGGACCTAGTTGAAACTTCAAAAGTACTAGCGAATAACATACATAGGAAGGAAGCCAAGAGAAATAAAGTTTTTGGGAAATACGGAGCAATAGATTTGACTTAAACTCAATGAATTAACTAAAGGTCACATATATAAGTCTCTGTACTCCACAGAGTCTTTCAATGTACCTCTTAAACTACAAAAAGTTCAATTCAAAACTACCATCCGTAAGAAACTTGCTAATAGCCCATTTGGATATTCTACTCTGCTTTTTTAGCAATCATTCTTCTTCTTGATAAGCAATTTCAATTACACCTTTTTATAACCAAAACAATGTAGTCCATGAAAATACTCTTCCACAAAGTAGGACTACAAATAACTCCAACGAATGTTACAAAAATTTTATGGAATCATATAGCTCATGTGGTCTCATCAACCATTCCTTTTTATAGTGAATTTATAGTGGAGGGCTCCAATTAAAAAAATGAATAATTGTGATGATGCCACATGTATTACATGACTCCATAGTGGAGTCAGATAGGACTCCATAAAATTTCCTACGAATGTTATGCATTTATATGTTTACGACGGGAAACCTTTTGTATGTGAACAATTCATCTGATCTCCAAGGGCTCTCCAATCACCTTCACTGAACCACTTTTATAAATTTTCATCAATTCACTTTTATGATATAGTTCAAAACAAATGAGCATATCCCATTGGCAAGATTATGACACTCCATGTTTGAGACTCCAAGAGGGTGGCAAATTAAAGGACATTGATATATCTTTTTTAAAGAGAACAAATCAATGTTGGCATCAAATGTTTTTTCTTTTAAATTGTTTCCATCAAATGTTATTGATCATTTTTTTAAAGCCACATATGCCCTTTCATACTATGGGGCAGTTTAACACTCATTCTTATACTATCTGAAGAAAAATATCTCTGCAAAATGGATTCTAAAACCATATACAAAACACCTAAGCTTTTAACTATCGACTCACTTTTGTCAAACTAGCTTTATACAAGGAAATATACTCAATGAAATTTTAGGGAATGTTTGAATCTCATAATATAAAATGCTATAGAAATGTATTTTCTTGTATTTAGTGTACGTTTATAAACAAAAAATGAAAACCAAAATGAAATACGATTACTAGATTTTTTGTTTACATGCGATTAGATTTCATAATCTTTAATTTTATACGTAGTATATAATAGATACAAACAATTACTTTGAACAAACACTTATTTCCCATCTCCATCCTAACCTCCCCTGTATTTCACTCTCTATTTTATACTACGTATTTTTTAGAAATAATTACATATTTATGACTAAAATAAAGATTGTTTACAAAAAGGTGACTAGTGACTAGAGTAGTAATGGAATCATAGCAACCTATGTTCATTTTTCAAACATAAGTTACCATGATACTACATTGTAGTAACTATCAGTCATATTTTTGTAAATATGTTTTATTTGAGTAATATTTTTGAAAACCCCCTATTTTTTATTATTTTAGGAATATCCAAATTCCAAATGGACCACCACTCACTAAATGTATCTATCTTTGTTTTCTAATCTTTTACAATATTGTAATATTTATTTAAAATTTTAATACCAAAAAAGGAACGAATGCATGAGTATACATGTAATTGCTTTTGACTCATACCTTGGGCACCTGTCGCACATAGTGCGTACTCTGCTAGTACTATAATATGACTATAAAAAACATCAGTAATGCACTAAAGATATGTAAATGCCAATACAGAAGCAAGACCAGGTTGAGAAAAAAACGTCTAAAGTGATACACATTAAAGAGGGGAGGGTGTAATTGCAATATTGCATACTAGCCCATGCACTATAGAACACAACATAAATACATGATAAATAAAAAATAATAGAGGTAAGATTAACAAACCATCTGGCAAGCACTTCTACTGGCATTTCGTATCCATATTTGAAACGGAATTCGGCAGCTTCATTCCTTGCCTGTTGGACTAGTGTCCTGGCATCAGCTGTCAAAATGAAGGGTCAAATATTGAGTAAAAATCTTGACCTTCAGTACATAATGTTCATGAATCGAAATCCTAGCACTGGATTACACTCAACTTAGGAACACCGATATGCGTTGAGAGTTTATCTTTTAGGTTGGAATCCAAGATCTAATCATATGCAGAAATAATTTTATATGCTTCAAACACAAATAACTTTTTGACAAAATGGGCAGCATAGTGTTTCATAACTCTTTGTCTCTTTGAAACTTGATCCGTGAATTTGGATTTTAAAAAGTGAAAAAACTGAATGCAGCATAGCAATGCTAACAAAAAAGAACCACCACTACTACCAGAAATACAATTCTTTTAATAGATAAGCTAGCATGGAATAAGATTTAAAAATATTATCATACTTGGTTGTTTTGGGAACATGATTTAAGAGCTAAGATAAGATGTTTATATAGTGTGTGTTTAGAAGGACATATGGAACAAGTTAGGAGACTTTGCATTGTTTTGGGTTGATTAAAATATGATTTGGCTTAATAATCTACTCCAAATAAATTGAAGCAATATGCTTAAAGTAGTAAAGCAGATTTAAGCTTTCCAAAAGTCATAGGCTCTAATGATATGTTTACCCAAACAAAGTAAAAAATCAGTAAAAATATTGATAGCAGAACTTATGCCGATAATAAGCTTGTCCACATAACAATTTAGGAAATCATGACCAATAACACATAAAAACCATAGGAATGATCAATCCTATTATTCAGTTTGCCAAATAATCATTAACAAATTCCCTAAACCCTATAAAGAAAGAGAATAATGTAAACACCCACATAATATGCTTCGGAGTAAAAAAGAGTACCAACCAGTCACTCCAGTAGCCAAAAGTCCTAAATGCTTTGTGATTTTAAACAAATGGGTCACACTTGTCTGGTCCAATAGCTTATCCTGTTCACAATAACAAAAATCAATTAACCCCCAAAATACAACTTTAAAGGGAAGAAGTTGCAATACTTATATACTCCATAGTAAAGTTTATTCTCCAAATTAAAATCATGTTGCTAGTGTTCAAATCTTACATCAAGCTGAAATTAAAGGGAAGAAGTTGCAATACTTATATACTCCATAGTAAAGTTTATTCTCCAAATTAAAATCATGTTTCTAGTTTTAGATACACTTATATCAGCTGAAATTAGAAAATCAGCTCATTTCACAGCTTTATGAATACAAAGCAACTATGGATAAACTTTTCCAACAATTATTATATAAGAATATATTGCAAGAAAATAATCAAAACACAGAGAGCAAAGAAAAAATCAATCTAATTAACTTCAAATCAGTTTGATGTGAATATTTAATAATTACAGAGCTCGTAAGATGTGAACTTTACTGGAACTTTCTTCTGAGTAACAACACAAACGGAATCTCTTCCACGCACACCAATGGAGGTGATTCCGACGGCCTTAACGGCTTTGAACGCGTACTCTGTTCACCAAACAACAAAACATCAGGGAAATGTTGGTTGTTTTTGAAGAAAATTGAAAGAAGGGCGAATTGCGATTAGCTTACCGACTTGGAAGAGACGACCTTCGGGAGAGAAGATCGTGATGTGCCGATCGTAGCCCCCTCCGCTTCCTCTACTCATTCTTCAACTTTTCTGTACGAAAACCCTACCGGACGGAGAATACAGAGAGCGGCGGCTGCGCAGCGGAGGGATGATTGTCGGCGGGTCCGGCGGTTAGAGGCGGTTGCGGCGAGAAGTGCGTTCTCCAACGGCGAGCTGGCTCCTAGAGTCGTGGCGCTGCGTGCTGGTTGTACTGCTCTTACGTGTAGCCGGCTGCGGCCTTGGCGAATGGCAAATGAGGATGATGCATCAAGCAAGAATCGGGAGTGTTTGCAAAAAATTAAAAGAAAAACTCTTTTGACTTTAAAAAGCTGAATTTGATGTTTTGGAAACACCATTTCTGCTACTTCTACTTAAATTAATCACTAAAAAGCTAAAAGATGGAAAAAGAATTGAGTGTTTTAAACTGTTTTTCTTTTTTCTATTATCCAATAATCACTTATATTATTAAGGGAAAAATAATAAAAATACCCTAAACTTTGAAAGGGTGTGAGATAAATACCTTAAACTTGTATATGTAATTTAAATACCGTAAACTTTATATAAAAAGTTATTTTCGCACCATTATCATGTATTATTTCTTTCAAAAATGTAATTTTTTTGGATTAATTACATAATTTAAACTAGCAAATTAAAAGTGTTGCAATTATATAGATTTGGGATTACATTATTTATTTCGCAATGGAAATTTAAAATGTTAATTGTGTCTTCATTAATTCTAAAATATATTAAATTATGCAATTAAAACCATAAACTTACATTTTAAAAAGAAATAATGTTTGGCTATGGTGCTAAAATAACCTTTAAATAAAGTTTTGGGTATTTAAATTACATATGCAAGTTTGGGGTGTTCATCTCACATCCCTTCAAAGTTTGGAGTATTTTATTTATTTTTTCCTATTATTAAACACTATCAACTTTTACTTTTTCAAAAGCACTTTTTGCTCATACATTATCAACTTTTACTACTACCTCCGGTTCTTATTAAAGTTCACTTTCCTTTTGGGGATGTCCCTTATTTAAGTTCACACTTCCATTTTAGGAAACAAAACAGTGCAAAACAGTGCCAAACAGTGTCAAACATTGTCCAAACAGTGCCAAACAGTGCCAAACAGTGCACTCCACAGTAAAGTCAAATTCATTTTCTTAATATGTGTGAAGTCAAACTAAGAACTTAAATAAGAACCGGAGGAAGTATTAATCAATTTTCCCAAAATCACTTTAAAAAATAAATTTTTAAAAGTGTAAGCAATCGAAAACACTCCTTCGTTCGAGCTGTTGAGGCAGTGCACAATCGACTGGATCCGGAACATCTGCCTTGCTTTGCCGCAAGGTAGGGTGCCCGGATTTATGGAGCCGTCCAATAAACAAATCAACGGCCGCAGATCTTGAAGCACCGCATCTCGAAGCGCTTGCTTCCTCTTCCGTCCGTCCGATGCCGCACGGCAGAGGATCTCAATCCCAATGGACTCAGGGCTAGTTTATTTATTCCGTATTTTTTAACTGTGCTATGTGCGACAGGTGCTTAAGGTATGAGTCAAAAGCAATTACATGTATACTCATGCATTTGTTCTTTTTTCGGTATTAAAATTTTAAATAAATACTTCGTCCCAATTTGATTTGCAAAATTTCCTATTTTAGTTATCTCAAAATGGTTTTCCACTTTCTATTTTAGGTATGTAGATAAGAACAAAGTAACAAATTTACCCTTACTTTTACTTTTTTCCATTAACTTAAAGACATCTACTTTTAGGAAGATGGACAAAAATGTAAAAAGCAAGCATCATTTATTGTTTTTCTTTAATCCTTGTGTCAGTCAAAGTTTTCAATTCAATTCGGGACGGAGGGAGTATTACAATATTTTAAAAGATTAGAAATCAAAGATCGATACATTTAGTGAGCGGTGGTCCATTTGGAATTCGGATATTCCTAAAATAATAAAAAATAGGGGGTTTTCAAAGATATTACTCAAGTAAAACATATTTACAAAAATATAACCGATAGTTACTACAATGTAGTATCATGGTAACTTATTTTTGAAAAATGAACATAAGGTGCTATGATTTCATTACTACTCTAGTCACTAGTCACATTTTTGTAACTTTGAGAACCGTGCTGAGAATGATGCATTTGTTACTAAAGGGCTCTCAAGTTGGAATAAAACAGAGCGATTAACTTCTCATGTGGGTCACATAAAGAGTTTCCACAACAAGGCACTTAAAAAATGTGATGATTTAATGAACCAAGACCAGTCAATTGATGTTGCTTTGCATAGACAAAATGAAATCGTGAAGAATGAATATCGCATTCGTTTGAGTACTTCTATTGATGTTTCAAAGATTTTTATTGCATCAAGGACTGTCTTATCGTGTTTATGATGAATCTGAAGAGTATAACAATAGAGGCAATTTTCTGGAACTAGTAAAGTATACTGCTAGTCAAAATGATGTTGTGAGTAAGGTTGCATTGAAAAATGCTCCAAGAAATAATCAAGTAGTTGCCCCTAGCATTCAAAAAGACATTGCTAATTGTTTTGCACAAGAAGTTGTTCATTATGTGCTTAAGGAGATAGGTGATGATGTGTTTAGTTTGTTGGTTGATGAGTCCAGTGATGTGTCTTACAAGGAGCAATTGGTTATGGTTTTGAGGTATGTTGATCAATGTGGCATGGTTAAAGAAAGATTTATTGGTGTTGTTCATGTGAAGGATACATCTCCTTTGTCCCTTAAATCTGCTATTGGTTCTGTATTTTCTGAATATGGCTTGAGTTTGAAAAATGTTAGAGGCCAAGGGTACGATGGTGAAAGCAATATGCAAGGTGAGTTCAATGGGTTGAGAGCTTTAATCATGCAAGAAAGTAGCTCGACCTATTATATCCATTATATTCTTTTGCTCATCAACTCTATTATATTCTTAATCCCAAAAGATTTTGGGGTCGACTAACATGAATCGATCCATGATATCGATGCCAAAAAAGAGAAGACACAAAAGAAGAAGAAGAAGAAGAAGAAACAAAAAAGTAAGATAAAATAGATAAGATAAAAATAAATAAATAAATAAATAAATAAATATAAGATAGCAATAACATAAGAATATATGAAAGGCAAAAGATAAAAAAGATAAAAGAGTATAAAAAAGCTACAAGATTAAAATAACATAAGAACATAAAAGGATAAAGAAGATAAAGTGATAAACGATCAAAGAAAGAGAGAAAAGAAAGATAGAAAAAAGATCAATTGTACACAGTAATGTGTGTCCTCCATTTTGTTTTCTCCAAAACCATACTCTCAAAAACAGGGACAGAGCTAGGGGGTCAGTCCCCCTACTTTAAAAAAACGTAGTACTTATGTACAATTGTATGTATTATCCAAATAAGTTGCACTTTTGCTCCCCCTCTCGGGCTCTCATCTACCAATAATCAATAGATCATAAATAAAGCATTCTTTACATGCCATAAAAAGAATCATATATTTATTAATGTGAATGTTTTTATTGTTAACAATCTAAAATTGTTTTATGAATAAGACTTGCGGAGTACAATCTTTCGCTATACAAAAGGAAGAGAAAAAATTGGCCTTTTCCCACCAGCTTCAATCGTTTAGCTGCTCATATCATTTTCCAGTTCAGGCCACTATTCATCAATTAAAAGTGCACCGACTGTTGACAAAGTACTCTGCATTAAAAAAAAACTGATATCATTGGCTAGCAGGGTGTTTTATACTGCCCAATCATATAGCCGCTAGCTTTATAACCTTTGCTTAGACAATTTTGCTATAGGTACTCATATTTACTCCATTTTCTACCTCATATAAATACCTCCTTTTTTAGCATCCCTTTTACCCTCTTTCCAAAAACTCTTCCCCCCTCCCCCACTTTTCTTCTCATTCCCTCTCTCTCTCCTCCATCTTTTCTTTTCACGCAGCCCCCCTCATCCCCTCCCTTTTCTTTTTCTTTTCTCCAAAACTTGATTTCTTCTCCATTTCAAGATTTCTTCCCATTAAGTCTTCTCATTTTTACAATCTTTTCTCCCTCCAAACTTCTTCTCTTGCTTCTCTCCTCTTCTGCCTTTTTTTTCGTTTCAAATGGAAGAGCTACAATAATCGGACAAAGGGGAGAAGCTCGGTGACGTGGGGAGTTGTGTCTAAGGTAACCATCCCTTCTCAAATCATGAGTTACGTACTCCATTTACGATTTTTCTTCATGTGCATTTTTTATTTTTATTTTTTCCTTTTTTCGATTTTATGTATATTATGTATGATATAAAAGTGAATAAATGATTATTTTCTTTCATTGTAATGATTTTGAGGTGTTACCTAATTAAAATTTTAGTGTAATTTCTCTATTTCATTTTATGCCCATAACATGTTTGTAGAAATTACTCAATGAAGTTTTTGTTGAAATTCAAGACTTTTTTTCCATTTTTTGTACCTCAATGTTTAACGAGTATTTTTATGGATTTCCAATTTAATATGATATAGTAATTTAATTGATGTTTTGGAAAAGAGTATGCTGTTTTTTTGTAATTTGTTTGTATTTTGTTTGGCGGACAGACAATTTAGAACTGCAGTGTCTGTCTAGCCTAAAGTGAACACGGTTTTGTTTTAAAGTCTGGGCCTATTAACTACTCTCTGTCTTATAGCTAGACAAATTTTGTCTGGTCCAGACATTAGTAGTCTGGGCCAATTAACTACGCTCTGTCTTACAGCCAGACAAATTTTGTCTGGGCCAGACATTAGTAGTCTGGGTCAATTGACTACTCTCTGTCTTACAACCAGACAAATTTTGTCTGGGTCAGACATTAGTAGTCTGGGCCATTTAACTACTCTCTGTCTTACAGCCAGACAAATTTTGTCTGGGCCAGACATTAGTAGAGTGAGCCAATTAACTACTCTCTGTCTCACAGCCAGACAAAAGTTGGTTGTGCCAGGCAACAGTTGTCTCTTCCAGACAAATTGATTATGCCTCACATATGCTATTTGTACCAAATATGTGTTCTGACTGCGTCTTGTGTATTAATCGTAGGTATTCACTTCAAGATGACGAATGACTTCAAATGTAAGGCTGAAAAAGAGTTCCAAGCGGACGCTAATTCATTTACAAAAATTATACCAAGTGTGACTTCTTTTGCAATGGAGAAATAAATGCAAGGATGCTGAAGTATATAGTGTTGGGGGAATGTGTCCGTTTTGAACTTGTGATTTTTTGAACGTGTATTTTTTTCATATTACAGTTGGGAAAATGTGTTGAATATTGTACAATGTTACATGTTC